CAGCTTATAATTCAGAGTTTATACCTACACATACAACTTGTCAAAGGGAAATATTTGATTACACTTCATAATTAAGAATTACTAATACTTAACAAAGAAGGCTTAGTACTTCTTGGTCAATGCTATCTCAGACACTGAGCATTTGTCTGTGAAGGGGAAACTGAAGCCCAGAGCTGGAGATGGTTCAACATCCTTAGTCTGAGAAAGAAGAGCATTGCCTGAGTACAGCATGGAGCCTGTTAGAAAGAAGTCTACGTGGATGACACAGCCCAAGAGAACTGCTAGGCACTGCCATATTGCCAGAGAGAAATGCTCCAGTGTGAATGGCCACTCACATAAGGACTTGTCTAGTACACAGGAACCAACAAGAACTGAACTTCTCTCAACATGAAACACTAAACCTCACCTATTCCAGTGCTGGATTCTTCTTATTTGACATAAATAAAACTTTATGCTGCTGCTTATTATTATAGCTAATAAAAACCACCCATAAGGTGTCAGTACCAAGGAAAACTGTTCATAGTAACTACTGGCTTTGCCAAAGGCAAGGTAAAGACAAATGCTATTATCCAAAAAGTCCTCATCAGGAATGTCATTTGACACTTGTTAGAGCCCTATTTCTATACCTAAGGTAAGGACACAAATAAGAATAACAATTATTTACATGTCTTTGTATTCTTTAGGCACACAGCTTCTCCAAAAGGGAGAATGTTCATTTTTATAAACTAGGGTTTAAAGAAGTTACAGATAAGCCATAATTTTAGATTAATTTTTCTGAGCATGAATTTGAGATAAGTGATTTCTTAAGATAAAATAGTCATTGCCTAGAAGATGTGTCTTAAAAGAAGAAATAAACTTGGTCCAATGAAGTAAAACTACTTTAAGAACTAATTCATGCTAGCAACAATCACTAACAAAATCAATTATTTCTGGTTAATTCAATGGTTAGGTATTTCATCTGATTATCAAGAAGAAAAAATTCATTTATATCAAAGACAGCACATGTACAAAGTCTGTCAATGGGGAATTTCTAACATAAGAGCATCCATATCTTAGGGTGCTATAATTTCTCCTTTTCTTCCACTCTGCCCTTCTTTTTTTTTTTTTTTCATTTTGCTTATGTGGTGCTGAGGAATCGAACCCAGGGCCTCAGGCATGCAAGGCAAGCGCTCTACCACTGAGCCATCTTCCCAGCCCCTCACTCTGCCCTTCTTAATAGACTTACTTAACCAAAACAAACAAAAACACAAAAACAAAAGCAAAAACTGGGCACTGGTGACTCATGCCTATTATTCAAGCTACTCAGGAGGCTGAGTGAGGATGGAGATTCAAAGCCAGTCAGGGTAAAAAAGGCTAAAAGACTCTTATCTCCAACTAGCCAGTAAAAACCTGGAAGTGGAGCTGTAGTTCATGTGGCAGAGCACTGGCTTTGAACAGAAAGCTTAGGAAGATCTCAGAGCCCTGAATTCAAGCCCCCGCCTCCCTCAAAAGACAAAAACAACAATAAAAAACACAAAGTTGAATCACTATGGTAAGATTATTATTTCTTTTCTCAAGTAATTCTTGATTGTGATGACAAATGAGAAACATTTTTCTTGGGATCTCATCCTTTTTTTTTGTGGTACTGAGGATTGACTCTACCACCTTGCACATGCTACGGAAGTACCAACCACTTAAACCCCTACCCTTCATCTTAGGGTTTGTTTGTTTGTTTGAACATGCATGGAAAACATCTTTCTCTGAAAGGAAAGAGTGAGCTCTTGGTTTCTAAGCAATCGGAAAAGTCTAGGAGTTGAGAGTACTATATTTGACACAGGGAGTCACTGGCAGATGCAGACAGCAATTCCAAGTCAGTATGTTTTGAGGTCCGTTTTTTTTTTTGTTTGAAAGTCAGGACCTTCTGCTTTTTAAGCGGGAGCTCTTACCACGGAACCAGGCCTCCAACCCCAACATGACAGGGTTATACTTCCTGCCTAGAAGAATGCCTGGAGCTGATATACCTGTTAGGCTTCCTGATAGCTAGTATAACCAGCTAGTGCCATTGTGGCCCAGTTCTTAATTGATAAAGAAGTCTCTCCGAATTTTTTTTTTCACCCACACAGGCTGGGCTAGAGCTTCAATCCCAACAGTCACAGCCTTCTAATATATTTTCAGTATACTGCATCCTATATATGAAACAAAGACTGTTAATCTGATTATAGCAGTAATTTTTTTTCCTTTTTGAATAAAGACGTAAGAATTTCCATTGCTGTCTAGCAGATCTTTGGTAAGAATTCTCCTGAACTGAAGAAAATGGAAGAAACCCTCAAAAACATGAATGGATGTGAACTAAACATTCTGCAGGGAATGATTATGTTTTGTTTGTAAAAGAAAAAGGTAAAACATTCCATCTCTAAGTTCTCAAATCTATAAATTCATGGCTACTTCTCAACTGCTGTTTTAAACTTTAGAATCAGGACTGAGCCAGGATACAATTATTTCCTATATGATCATTATAACTGAGAACCTGGGCATGACTTTGGGATGTGTGTGAACATAACTGACTTACTGCAATTAATTTTTGTTTTATGTTATTCCAATTTGTGGAGCCAATCACTTAATATAAGTTTAGTATTCTGGTCAATTAATTTTAAAATTCCTCTTCTCTCAGGCAAAAATGTTTATGAACATGAAATACAGACAATAAATCTTAGCTTCTTTCTTTCTATTCTATGCAGCTGGCTGTCCTTTGAGAAAGGAAGGTTCAGAATAAACTCAATGCACATCATCAGAGTAGTTGTGTGGAACAGTCACTGTACAGCTTGCAGACTTCCCCTGGGCAAGATAGAAGCCAATTTTCCCAACATCAGCTTAAATAAATCTTAAGGCACTGCTGTATCAAGGGCATGGAAGAAATCCCAAAGCTCTGATTGCTAGCTCTTCTTAGCCTATTTAATCATATAAGAAACACAGGTTCCAAAATCGGAAAAAAATGCTTAGTATTATCCACTGTGTCTAAAACAAAGAATAGTGGAAAAGAGAACTTCTGGAAACAGTTAATTCAGTCTCTCAGTTGCTTCAAATTATGAATCTCTACATTCTTTAACTGTTTCTGTTCTAGCTATACTGGGTTTAAGAGAAGTTGTAGAAATAATAAACTATAAGAGACAGCACAACATATTTACTTAGCCTTCCAAATATGGGTTAAGTAGCAAACAATATAGCTATTATTAGGTTATGATTTTTTTCCATGTTATTTAAAAGTTAATAGGTAACCAAGAGTAGTAAAGAGACATAAAAGAATGTTCTGTCTAAATCTAAGTATATTTGGAAAAAAAAGGCCAGTGGGGAAAAAAAGATAGGTACTGAAGGCAGCATTAGTCAATTAATTAGTAATTGCTCATAATTAATTAGCCATAAGAGTAACTTACACCACATTTTAAGGCAACAGCAACTCAATTGCTAATGTTATTTAATTCATAAATATAAACATTAATTAGAAGTCTCCCTATAGAGTACAATTTTCTAATATCTAAACCTTTTTTAAAGGAGCTACATTTCCAGAAAAGGAATCAACATGATACTACTCGAATTCAGAAGGTAACTGAGTACCTAACAATTTACATTCCATGAGACTATCAAAAAATATTATAAAATTTGCGATGCTATGTTCTTTTGCTTAAAACAGTAGAATAGTAGTGAGAATGAGAGCTCTTGTGAGCCTTCTGATTGTACTTCAAAATGAAGAACTCACTGCTGTGACACACCACACATAATCACATATATAGGAATATAGAACACAGTGTACACACACACACACACACACACACACATTCAAAGTGAAGAAAAACACTAAGTTGGCTACAAAATATTTCTCCCAAGAGCACTTTCCTGGAATTGTACAACTGGGAAAAGGTCATTACCTAATACTCTGAAAGAACAGCACAAATAACTCAAACTCAGATGTCTAGACAGTCTGGCATAGATTCTCGATTCAGAGGTCAACCAAAAATCTCAACTATGTTTCCTCTTATTTGTTTATTTATTTTAGTATAAAGGAGTTTTACTTCTTCCTGGTATCAAATGCTAAATTGGGCAGAATCAAATGTATACAATTATAACTTAAAAAAGTAAAATATTTAGAGTAACATCTAATTTTTGATGAGCATAATTGGTAAAAGTTATAATGCCTACTTATATGTAAAATAATATATAATCATTACTTTAAGAAATGAGAAATTTCTGCTCTGATTTTATAATAGTTAATATTTTTAAGATCATAAAGTTGTAAAGGCAAATTGAAAGTACTGTAACAGAAAGAGGGTGTGAGGGTTTGTAGGTGTGGCTTAGATGGTTTAGTGCCAGCCAAGGAGTGAGAGCATCAAATACCAGTTTGGCCCGGAAGGAGGGATGGGGGAAGATGAGAAGGCGGCACAGGGAATTAAAAAAAGCTGTGATTTTTAACTTCTCCCAGAGCTCTAGCATTTTCCTGTTTTATTGTTCAGTGTGATAAAAACATATACCACAGAGGCAAAAGCAATTACTCCAAGAAGCAATAAAGTATAAAAATGTAAGGTAACAAAATAAGATCTCCATTTAAGCAAAATCTTCAAAGTAAGAAGTGACAGAAAAATCTCAAAGGAAAAAAAATCTTCAAAGAAAACAAGAAAGAGGAAGTTTTGGGAGGCTAGTTTTTGGAATTCAACTTACTGTAGTTAAAAATAGGCAAAAGGATAGAAATTATAAAAATATAATTCAGGTTAAAGACAGATGTCAAGCTGGGGCTATTCACTCAGCCATAATTCATAGATGCCAAATTCATTTTTTTTTATGTTCTGAAGGAGAAAAATGCAATTTAGATGATATAATGCTCAACCACAAATACAAAGGCTTTCACCCAGGCTGACAAACCAGTGTAACATATTTTTCTGCCTTGGATTCAATATCAACTAATCATCTGAACAGCCAGGAAAATTAAAGGGTAGAACATACATGGCGGCACACATAGAAGAGTTACTTACCTTCAGTTGGTTATTGAAAATATCAATCTCCTGCAGCTTTGACCTAGTTTCTTTTTCCACCTCATCCAGTTGATCTCTTAGTTGTTGCCGGGTTATTTCTTTTGCTTCTAAGGCTCTTTTGAGTGTAAGAAGTGAGTCTCCTGTTACAGAAAAACATTTCAAGATAGAAAAAAGTTAAGTTGGCAGTGAGGAAATGTTGTTTAAAGTTTTCATGTCACGTAACAAAATTCTTGTTGATAAAAATGAGAAAAGGTTAAGGTCTGGGATGCAGCTTGGTGATAAAAATACATTTCAAATGCAGGAGCCCTCAGGTATGACCCACGGCAGAGAGAAAGGGAAGGAAGGTAAAAAAGATGGAGAGGGGAGAGGAGGAGGAAAGAAAGGAGGAAAACTGAAGTTTAAAAAAAAAAAAGGAAGAGCCAGGTGCCAGTGGTCATGCCTGTAATCCTAGCTACTCAGGAGGCTAAGATATGAAAACTGTGGTTCAAATCCAGCCCAGGCAGGAAAATCTGTAAGACTTTTACCTCCAATTAACCATCAGAAAACCAGAAGTGGCTCAAGTGGTAGTGTGCTCACCTTGAGCTGAAGAGCTGAGGGACAGTACTCTGGCCCAGAGTTCAAGCCCCCTGACTGACAAGGGAAAAAAAAAAAGAAAGAAAGAAAAGAGAAAAGAGGGAAAGGAGAAAAGGAAGAGAAAGGGGGGGAAGGAAAGGAGGTCCATTTTAAAAACAGAATACCTACTATGTAAACTGTTCTGCTGAACTTGTTTTAGCTGATCATTCAGTATCTGTTTTTCTGGAATAAGTCTTCCAAGCATTTGCTGAGATTCCTAGGAAAGAGGAAGGAAAAACAACAGTGAATGTCAGCGAACACTACCGCATCCATCTCAATAAGAGACAGCTCAAGTCAGTGTTCTCAGCTCTCAGACACTCCTATCACACCCCATATCCTTTATGCATTTAATAGCTAGTCAGGGTGGCTCGTGCATTCTTGCCAAAGAATTAGCTATTTGCCAAGTGCTTTGCACTAAAATAAAATTAAGACACGTTATAGCTCTCTTTACACTGCTTACAATGTTGTCGATTTACTGAATATTATAAACTTTTAAAAAATACTCTTTAAGTAAGATTGCAGAGGAATTTTGCAGTGATCTCTCACAATGCTCAGGATCAAGTAGAAAATTTGCTTATTTGCAAGCAAACCTAGTAGGAATCACTCTAATATGAGCTAAAGGGTCAGACCAGAGAATTAGGACTGAATTTAGGTTTAATCTATCATATACCTAAAGTTGGAAAAAAACAATGAGATCTGTTATAACTAGAATCTTACTGCCACATGGGATGGAATTTCAAATAGGTACAAGAAAGTCTTGAAACAAATTTTAACTGGCACAAAAAAAAGCAGTGCAAGGCAGTTTGGAATTTGTATGGGTAACTCACCAAGCACAATATTTGCTTAAATTCAGGTGAAATAGTACTGAATATTTTTATGTTTCAATAAAATGGCAGCCTCTCCATAATAAGAACCATATGTATGTATGCATGCATGTATGAATGCATACGTGCATGTATGCATACATGTATTATGTATGTATGTGCTAGTCTTGGGCCTTGAACTCAGAGCTTGAGAGCTGTCTCTGAGCTTCTTGGGCTCAATTCTAATGCGCTACCACTTGAGCCACAGCTCCCTTTTCTAGCCTTTGGATGGTTAGTTGGAGATAACAGCCTCACATACTTTCCTGTTGCTGGGGTTGGCTTGGACCATGATCCTCATATCTCAGTGGCATGAGCCACTGGCATCCAGCAAAAATATCTGACTTTTATCTTAATAAAAATTAACTTTGGCTGGGCAACTCAAGAAGCTGGGATCTGAGCATTATGGCTCAAAGCCAGCCTGGGTAGATAAATCCTCAAGACTCTTATCTCCAATTAAATGGCAAAAAGCTGAACTGGAATTATGTCTCACATAGAAGATTGCCAGCTGTGAGAGAAAAGGAAGCTCTAAATCCAAGCCCCAGAACTGGCACCAAACCAAACAGAACAAAATAGTATTAGCTCTCACCTGTAATCCTAGCCTTTAGCCAAAAAAGCTAAGGAAGAGTGTCTAGGACTTCGCTGAAGCCTCAGTACCAGCAAGTGTGCAAGCACACACATATGTACTCACACACAGGACTCACACATTGAAAACTATAAAATACTGCTGAAATAAATTTATAGTGGCCTAAATAAATTGAGCAAATATTTCCAATTCAGTTAATTCCAAAACATCCTCTCCCGCTCTGCCCCTTCTCCTCTCCCTCCCTCCATCCTGTCCTTGGGCTTGAACTCAGAGCCTGGGGCACTATCTCTGAGCCTATTTGTGCTCAAGGCTGGTACTCTACCTACAACTGAGTCACAGCACTACTTCTGACATTTTCTGAGTTATTTATTGGAGATAGGAATCTCCAATTCCAATTCCAGCCCAGATAGGATCCACACTATAATCCTCAGATATCCGCCTCCAGAGTAGCTACGATTACAGGTGCGATTACAGGGGGGAGTCACCTGCTCAAAACATTCTGATAAACTTATTTTGTTAGTGACAGTCCCTTCTGTAAACAGAGGCAGGTTCCTCCTCCCTGCAGTTCCTGGCTGCAGCTTTGGGGCCAATAAGCCGGGCCAGGGCTGGGTTCAGCCAACACCTGCAGAGTTTACTTTTGGGGCTAGGATCCTACCTACCAGCTTCACCTTTGCCTCCCAGTGCCTGGTCTTTAAAAGAGCTGAACATTAGTTGAGTAAAGAAGTGAAATGGATTAAGATTAAAGCACTACCTCCATGTTTATTGCAGCACTGTTCACAATAGCTAGGATATGGAAACAACCCAGATGCCCCACCACAGATAATGGATCCAAAAATTGTGGTATCTATACACAATGGAATATTATGCAGCCATTAGAAATGACAAAATAATGGCATTTGCAGGGAAATGGATGGAGCTAGA